AGAGAGAGAGAGAGAGAGAGAGAGAGAGAGAGAGAGAGAGAGAGAGAGAGAGAGAGAGGATTATACATGATATTGTACATGTGTGCGGCGTAGCCGCAATATAGCAGGTATAACCATTGTGGCCCGTACAGCCAGTATAGCCACAATATAGCCATAGTAGCCACGGTATAGCCACAGTATATCCAGTATAATCACAGTAAAGTCAGCGAGCCAGTATAGCCAGTATAGCGTTCGTCTTATTGCACGTGCCAGCATAGCCAGCTTGTGCAAGGTAGCGCTGAAGTACGCTGTGCCTCTCTAGCTTGGGTCACACTCACTAACTGTAGGACTTTTCTGGACGTCACTGACGGCAATTACGTCCAGAAGGAAGTCCAGAAAGGCGCCGAGCGTGAATATGCCTTTAGATGCCGATAGCCTGAGCACAACACATATGCTCTTTTGGCTGCACGGGACCGGAATGATAGCTCGTGTACATTCCGTATCAGGGTGCGTTGTGTTCGGTTGAAGACGGTAGTAGCTTGCACTCCCAAGTATATTCTGCGCTTCAAGCTTACATGCTGATAGTGCGAGTGCGCCACAGCTAATCCCGTAATACTGTATGTGCAGGTTGCGCAGGCTGATAGTGCGGCCGCGGACGTTGGCGATGGCTATGTGGAGATAAATACATAGCCCTTTTTTTTGGTTTTCTACTAGCGTCTTCACCCGAATAGAACCGTATGCCCGGTCATTATAGCCGTATGCCCGGTCATTATAGCCGTATTTGGTGTAATTTTCAGTCCAGATACGGCTATAATGACCGGGCGTTCTATTTGGGTGAAGACGGTAGCGTTTGTTCCGCAGGTTGTACAGGTTGCGCAAGTGGACACATAGCCAGATCTATGGAGATACGGACTGACAGAGTTCTTTTTTTTTTTTTTTTTTTTTTCCAGACAGAGTTCTTTAGTCTACCCATGTCCGTTTAATGGAGTTTATGTGCAAAAGAAGTGAAGGCTCGATTGGCAGGAGTGGTAGATATGCGCAGTGTTTGTCGCATACGCCGTGCGATTAGTGGAGTGACCGTTTGGATTTCTTGATTGGCTAGTAATACATGTCCAGGTGACTGATGGATGGAGTTATGAGGCGGCAGGTGGAAGAATGAGTGTGAGGAATCCAGGGAGAGTGTGACGATGGTTGTGGCCGGGGACTGACTAGCCTTTTGTTGGCTTTTCACTCGACTTTTCTCGACGATTGTAGGAGAAATGACGAAGGCGCCCAAGCCTGCTGCTGCAGCAGTTGTCCCCTCCTCGTCTGCTGGCCTTCAGCCCCTTCGCGGTGCAAAGAAATCCAAAATTGTGAAGAAAGCGAAGTCCAAAACCTCGAAGAAAGCCAAAACTGCAATCAATGACGACAAGGCGAGGAATGATTCAACGACTGGCGTTGATAGCCTCAACTCACTTCACGGCCTTGAGAGTAAGTTTAGGGTCAAATGCAATGCTCTCTCTCTCTCTCTCTCTCTCTCCCCACAGGCACACTCGCACATACAGCCCCCCCTCCCCCCTGATGAGTCGGTGGACGTCTGACGAAAATATAGCATAGTAATGCTTTTCTTGTGGAGTTGTGTATAGCGAACATGACAACACACACACACACACACACACACACACACACACACACACACACACACACACACACACAGACAGACACACACAGACACACACACACACACACACACACGCACACACACACACACACACACACACACACATCTGCTCATCTGGGTGGAAAAGGGGTTGTTGTGGTGACAGTCTACGACACGCACACACAAAATGACCTCTGGCTGTCTCACACACACACACATGAGCCCACTTCATGGGCCTGAGAGTAGGTTTAGAGGGAATGACATAGTATACCTTGCCTCTCTCTGTCCCTACCCCTCACCCCTTTCCGTCTCTCTCTCTCTCTCTCCCCCCCCCTCGTCCATCATGCGCACTTGCGTGTACACAGGTTTTCTCCATCTGTCCGTTCACCTGCTTTCCCCTCACCTGCCTGCCCGTCTGCCCGTTCATATTCCTCTTCGCCTGCCTGTCTGTCCATCTATCAATCCGTACGCCCGCGTGCCTGTACGTTTCCCCTCCTGACTGCCTGCCTGTATGGTCCCCCTCCTATCTGCCTGCCTGTATGGTCCCCCTCCTATCTGCCTGCCTGTATGTTCCCCCTCCTATCTGCCTGCCTGTATGGTCCCCCTCCTATCTGCCTGCCTGTATGGTCCCCCTCCTATCTGCCTGCCTGTATGGTCTCCCTCCTATCTGCCGGCCTGCCTTTTTTTTTGCGTGAAGAAAAGGGCGACCTGCCTGTATGGTCCTCCTCCTGCCTGCCTGCCTGCCTGCCTGCCTGCCTGCCTGCCTGCCTGCCTTTTTTTCTGAGTGAAAAAAGGCGACGTCCTTGAGGTATTCATTGTACTGACCAGGCCCATGTAATCAGAATTATGTTGTTCTGTTTATTTGATCTTATTTGGATTCGAACTTGGGTGTGTATTTCAACACTTCATGGTGGGTGTACCATCTGAGCTAGGCCTGTCCGCCTGCTTGATTGATTGCCTGTCTGTGTGTGCGTCTCTCTGTCTGTCTGCCTGTCTGTTTGCTTGCCTGCCTTTCTCGTTGGCTGTATGTCCGTCTGCCTGCCAGCCTCTCTCTCTTTCTCTCTCATACACACACTATTACACGCATTTGCTTGCTTTGCATCATTGTTGATCCCTTCCTGTGGTCATTAATATTCTCCCATCTCATTGTTTTTGGATTCGAACTCGTGTCATGCAGAATGGGTGTCAGAGTACCAAGCGCAGAGGCCTGGACTGAAGGTTCTGGAAACACAACTGGATGAATACATGGCAGAATATGATGCCAAAGTGAAGGAGGTATGCCACTCTCTCCTGGTGTTCATTTCCACGTTTTTCGGGAGAGATCACTGTCAGTAGTCCTTGAAATCTCAGTGTTGAAAAAAAATAATAAAAAATCCGGGTATTGTTGTATAGCTGAACTCCTCAGGGCATACTCACACTAATAACTGACATTTCAATAAATTTGAAATATTGAAATATTCTTCTTTTCGCGGGACTGCGAGGATATCAGTCCTCGACATATGCCCACGAAGGACCCCTGTGGCAGACCCCAGCTGCAGACATATGGCCCGCCCTAAATAAAGGTGGGCCCCGAATCTCATGAGGCCTGAATTCGTCAATTTTGCAAAGCGTTGGTGGGTGTCAGACAGTTACCACGCCCCAGATGGTTACATCCGCCCTGCTCGTGAGAATCAGAAATATTTGTGAGCCGTCTAGGCTCTTCCAACCACGCAGGGGAAACAGGGAACGCCGCCTGCGTGGTTGGGCACGCCTAAGCAATTCGGTCCCAGGCCACTGTTTGAATGGGCCTGGGCGCAGACACTTTGGCCCAACATGAAGCTACTGGGCGCATGGTTGCCAGGCCCAGGCAGCCAGCACAGGCAAGCACTTTCTATATAGGAAAGTGCCCGCCTGCCATTCATTCATTCGGGCACTTGGAAGTGTGTGCGGCAGCGCTGCTGGAGCAATGGCTTGCATGCGGCATACTGGTGCAGGTGCTGGAAGTAGCGAGCGCGGTCGATAGGAGCAGGGCACTGCAAGCAGGAAGTGCCATAGCTCAGCCCTCCATAGCCGGACAGGCAGCGGAGGTGGTGGTGGTCTTCGGGGTTATTGAGGCAGTGTGGGGAGAAGACAGGGATGAGCAGAAGAGGGAGAATGAGGAGGTGATGTGAGGGCACATACCTTGTCTTGGCGGAGGTATACTTGGTCGACATCTGCATGTACTTCAGTTGCTGCTGCTGACGTCAACTGGTTGCTTCATTTTGTAGGCTGGTAGAGTAGCTGTAGGATCGTAGTCAGGGTGCTGAGCACCATTAGGGGGAAGAGCTTCGATTGCATCGTTGGTGGTGGCGAGAGTATGCTTCCATTGACAATTGAGTTCGCTGCTTTGGTTCTTTTTCGGTGTGACATCAGTTCATTTCATGCTTTCTGGACAGCTGTCGACTATCTGGCTTTCAGTGTGATTTTGCAATCTGGAATTCTATCATTCGCTATTGCTCATTTTCTTTGCAATTAGGGGGAAGAGCTTCGATTGCATCGTTGGTGGTGGAGAGAGTATGCTTCCATTGACAATTGAGTTCGCTGCTTTGGTTCTTTTTTCGGTGTGACATCAGTTCATTTCATGCTTTCTGGACAGCTGTTGACTATCTGGCTTTCAGTGTGATTTTGCAATCTGGAATTCTGTCATTCGCTATTGCTCATTTTCTTTGCAATTTAGTAGCGGAGCTGGTTCCAGCCGCTCCGCTGGCTCCAGCGCAATTGCTGTTTAGTGCTTTGTCGAGGAATGGTGAGGCATCGATAAAGCTTGTGCGCTGGGTTAATAGGCGGCCCTGTGTGGAGAGGGCGCGCCAGGAAGGCTATGTGGTGACATTGGGGTGAACGCTGGATGATGAGAGCTTTCTGACGTTGCATTTTAAGCCGAGGTGGAGTTGCATTGTATTGCGGGTTGTGCCGAGGCACTGACTGGTCACCATAAATGCACGTCAGGTCAACTGGTGAGAACTCTGTGGTTGGGAGCAGTATTATGAGGTATGCTGCTCCTTACGTTACCTACCCTCTTCATTGCTTCTTACCGTGAGGAAGTGAGTCTTGTCTTGAGAGTCCTCTCATAGTGAGGTGTTGCGAGCGCTCAATCTTGAGAGTCAACATTTTCCTGGGGAGCATGCTGGTGTGAGAAGGGCGTTGCCTCTGAAGGGTCCTGGACGAAGCACTTGGGTCATGATCACCATGCCAGCCCACTGGGAGTAGAGCACGGATGCTTTGCTGCTGAGGCCTTTGGTCTGCTTTGCTGCGCTGTAGAGGTTGTGTTGGGCAGGCCAGCCCTATGGGGGAGAGACGGAGTACCGGACCGTCAATAGAGAGATTCCGGCGGAGATACACGACTCGCACTGTACGCGACTATAAAAATAGTACGGACGGGGCTGGCTGGTCTTGCATCGACGTGGGGCATAGGGGTGGGCCGAATGCACACCACATGCTAGTCAACCAGAGCTTTCGGGACGTCGACATTAAGTGACTACTCAAAGAAAGATAGAGGGGGAGGGAGGTTCCAGTGAACTGCTCGATTATTAGTTATTGTCCTATTTCCATTCAGCTTGCATTCCAGCAAATGATTTTTTTTTTTTTTTTTTTTTGATTAGTTAGTTGTTATGGACTCTGCTGACAACTAGCAGACTGCTGAAGTTAGAGTAGAAAATTATTATGTGCTGCATCGCAATCTGTTTTAGGCTCGTCAAAATAAAAGTAGAATTGTTTGTTGGGGTCTGAACTTATCTGCTGTTACCGCTTGATTACGTTTTGACGTATCTGGACGGGGTAATTATTTTATTTTATTTATTTTAAGGATGGGTGGGATGCCAGGCTGCGGTAGGTCCCAGTGAGGACTCTATTGCAGATTGCATGCCAGATGCGTAGCTCATGAGTGAAGATGACAGTGAAGTTGAGAGACTAGACCAGGACGGTATGAGGCTTACCCGGAGACAGACACTTAGTTGGCCGACCACGTTCTTGGTGTTAGAGCCAGGAGAGGAAAGATACTGCAGAGAGCAGTTGAGGGGAGGAGATTGCGGAGGGCACAGGAAGCAGCAGCCAACTTAGAGAGGGCATTAGCAGCTGCAGCGGCAGCACATGCTAGGGCTGAAGCGGAGGCCGCAATGGCTACCTCCTCTGCAATGTCACAGGCCTCTTCTGAGGCCTCTTCGTCAGGTGTAAGTCAGGGTATGGCCCAGCCTTTCGTTAGTCAGTTTGCTGGCTCGCAGGTCAGCCAGCAGCAACCCATGTCAGCAGAGGTTTATGAGATCCAACATACGGATGCACTTCATGATGAGTTACAGCGCCAGTTAAAGGATGTAGTGGAGAGAAGAGAAAATGCTAGAAGAAGGAAAGCTAGACTAGAGGCAAGGGGAGGGGAGTTAGGTAGGCTGAAAGTTGTCAATTAGTCAGCATTTGATCCTATTTAAGTCCCTTCGGCGCTGTCTTTTGAATGTGGCCAAGGTACAGGCCGTGCAGCAGGAAATGTTGGCTGCGCTTAGAGCGTCTAGGCCTATGGCTAGGTCAGCGGAACCTATTGTAGCTCCTTCTACGGTTGCAGGTCCCTCGATGACGCTGCCGCCCATGAGAAGTCCCTTCGTCCCACAGTTTGGCATTAGTCCAGCAGGCGGTACACTAGCAGGTGTTAGCGGGCAGGCTCCGGGACCAGCTTCTTCAGTCCCTTATCCAGCCGCTGCAGCGACATTGCAGCCCCATGTTCAGCAGCCTTTGCAGCAGGTGCATCCGTCGCCACAGCAGCCTGTCCCACTGGTGTCCCAACCGGTGCAGCAGGCACAGGGCCGTGGACAATCAATGCAATGGATGCCCAATGCTAACTCCTAAACCTTTTTTCGAAGATGAGAAGGATCTTAATACTTGGGTGAGAACAGTGCCCACTTATGTGTGGCACAAGCTCACAAGGCCCGAGGAGGAGGTGATCGTCGCTGCATCCTTTTTAGAAGGATCAGCAACCAAATGGTTAGACGGGTTAGTACAGCAGCACGGATACGGTCAGAACTTCGATGGCTGGGCACATGCTCGGACTTTGGAGGAGTTCGTAGGGTTAGTTCGCAACAGGTGGCATGACCCTCAGGGGGCGCAGAAGGTTATCGACTCGCTAGTGAGCCTGGCATGTAAGAGGTACTGGTCCATTCGGCGAGGTGACTGATATTGTAGAGCACTTGACCTTTGTCCCAGGCGTGCGGTGTGATCTGCAGGTTCTCATGACAACCTATCTGCGATGTCTGCCTACAGACGTCAGAAACAAGTTGGTTGGTGAGGCCTCCATAGATGTACATGACTTTCCTTCGTTTAGTAAGAAGGCCTTAGAGATAGAGGCCCGATTCGGGAGTGGGCAATAGTCATTGATTGATGGGAGGAAAAAGAAGTTGCCCCAAGATAGGAAGAAGAAGTGCAACCTTATGCTTGTTGACCATGACAGCAACACGACCGAGGTTGAGTAGTAGCTCCCATAAGAGAAAAAGCTAAGGGGACCGGGACACATAAGGGCAGCTGACCCAAGGGTCAAGTGGAACAAGGACCACGCATATGGGTGAAACTTGGATTAGAGTACGATGTGTGGCGTAATCGCGTTGCTCGAGGCACATGTCTAAATTGTGGCCAGTAGGAGCACACAATGAACCGTTGCAAGAGTAAGCGAGTTACAACGAAGGTAGCATCCTCGATCGTGGTTGTGGTACCGTCTACCTCAGGTGGTGCATCTGCGAGCACTCCCTAGGGAAACATGCCAGGCCAGTAGGAGTTATAGTTGCTCCTACCCATGCTGAAGTGGTGGCCTCACCCGCTTCACTTCACAGGTTGGCCGAAGCTATTGGCCCCCATATCGCCCCGCAGACAGATCCAGACCAATGGATACTCTGTACGATGGATGTGTCTGAGTCCTTTGAGGAGTTAGAGCAAGAATGGTTATGTAAGGACCCTAGAGACTCCTGGGAGATTGACTGAAGGTCCAAAGGGTGAATATTTTGATGTAAAAGTCGATGTAGGTGGCCGTAAGGTTGGAGCCTTCGCATACATAGGTTCTACACAAAATTTCATCAGTCGTGCTTGTGTGGATAGGCTGCACTTAGGAGACCAAGTGCATCGGCTTCGCAGATCTGTAGCATCTACCTTAGCCAACAAGCACTCCATGGTAGTGAAAGACTATGTCAAGGACGCAGTCTGTACCCCTTACGGAGGAGGGGAACTGAGACACAAAAACTCCTTCCTGGTTAGTGATGAGTTGCCCTTCGATATGCTGCTAGGTATGTACTACCTCGAGGTTGTTAAGGCCCAATTTGACTGGGATAGGAAGGTGATGATGTACAAGCTGCCAACTGGGGGGCTTGTTAGACTGTAGAAGTACAAAGCAAGCAGGCTAGTTGAGTCTTATGGTTGCATGTCCGCTTCAACTTTCTATAATTATTACAGTAGAATCGCGAGAAAGGCACGTATCTAGTCTCTGTCTTTGAGAAAGGGGAGGCCATAAAAACACCCCGAGAGATAGAAGCAGTTGTTGCTCAATATCCAAACCTTTTTGAGGAGCCTACCGTCTTCACCCGAATAGAATGCCCAATCATTATAGTCGTATTTGGTGCAATTTTCAGTCTACATACGGCGATAATGATCGGGCGTTCTACTCGGGTGAAGACGGCAGGGGTATTGTCGAGAGAGAGGTAGTCCATGCGATTGAAGTCATTCCAGGTAGCAAGGTACCTAGAGGGCGGATACATAAGATGTCTCTTGCGGAGTTAGATGAGCTTCGCCAACAGCTCAAGGAGCTCACAGAAAAAACTTGGATTCGGCCTAGGATGTCCCGCTACTATGTGCCAGTACTGTTTGTTCCCAAGAAAGGGGGGACCTTGAGGATGTGCATTGATTATAGGGGCCTCAACGCCATCACAGTTAAGAACGCTAAGCTCCTACCCCACATCAACAACCTCTTGGATAGGGTGCAAGGATGTTGGTGCTTTAGTCAGAGAGATCTAAAGTTCGGATACCATCAGATTGCCATAAGGCCTGAGTGTCGACACAAAACCGCTTTTCAGACCAGGTACGGTCCGTATGAGTTTGTAGTGATGCCTTGTGGTCTTTGCAATGCTCCTGGGACATTCCAACACGCGAATCTGTCATGACTACTTAGATATTTATCATCATGTATCTTGACAACATTTTTATCTTTAGGACTGTAGAGGAGCACGCGGAGCACGTTAAGATAGTGCTAGGGATCCTAAGACAGCACCAGTATAAGGTCAACTTGGAAAAATGTGAATTCGGTCGCACCAAGATCTTGTACTTGGGTTATGTAATTTCATTAGATGGCTTGAGGTCGGATGATGCCAAGGTGGCCAGCATATGTGACAAACACAAACCTCAGTTCGTGACTGAGGTGAGGTTGTTCTTGGGGATGAAGGGCTACGGCCATCCATTTGTTAAAGCACCAGTACACCATACATAGGCCCGCGGGTGTCAGTGTGGAAGATGCACCACTTTGGAGGCCGCCGATTTTTTTTCCAATGGCGCCCCTCGCCACACGGCCCCTCTGAGATTTGCTTGTGGCAACAAAAACTTTCTGCACGGATGGGGCCGGTTTTTTTTTTTTTTTTTTTTTTTTTTTTTTTTTTTTTTTTTTTTTAACCGGGCCCGGTGCCCAAGGCTTGATATTACCAATAATAAGATTGAGGCCGGGGTCCTCACAGTCYACCCGGAGGATGATGACCCTGATGATACTGATGATACCACAGATAATGATGCTAAAGAGACTAATGTGCACGGATGGGGCCGTGTGTAGGCGGTTTAAGAACTGAGGTACTATAGCTTCCCCGCTAACAGACCTCGTGTGCCGTGAAGCCCGTGGGAGTGGACAGATAAGTGTGAGGCAGCCTTCAAGAGACTGAAGTATGCCCTCATGCACCATGAAGTCTTGAAGTTTCCGGATCCTGAGCTGCCTTTCATTGTGACCATAGACGCCAACCAATACGGCATAGGCGCGGTGCTTGCACAAAAGATGCCATCCCAGAAACTGGCTAAGTCCACGTATGAGCGAGCCTGAGCTGCCTTTCATTGTGACCATAGACGCCAACCAATACGGCATAGGCGCGGTGCTTGCACAAAGGATGCCATCCCAGAAACTGGCTACGTCCACGTATGAGCGAGAACTCTATGCCCTCTATAAGGCACTGACTCATTGGAGGCACTACCTCCTAGGCAGATTCTTCCATGTGAGGTCTAACCACGTGACTCTGCACTGGATTAAAACGCAGACTGTACTCTCCGGTGCACTCAAGAGGTGGATTGAAGTCATACAAACTTGACCCTCTGAAAGGGGAGTACAACAAGGTGGCTGATGCACTATCACAAAGGGCAGAGTATCTGGGCACGCTATTTACAGAGTTTGGCATTTCTGACGAAGTGACTGGATTGATGGTGGAAGCCTATCGAGAGGACCCCATCATGTTTGAGATCATGCACAAACTCCAGGCCAAAAATAAGGCCACAACCGATGAGTTTGTGCTGGTTGATGGCTTGCTGTTGCTCGAGAAGGCAGGGACTGTGAACCGACTAGAGAGTCTTTGCGTAGTTTATTTTTAGGTGGCGCATCTGGTCATTTTGGTTTCAAGAAACCGTCAGCAAGCTTAGTGCAGCGTTTCTGGTGGCCCACAATGATGGATGATGCAAAGAAATATGTCGAGACTTGTCAGGTTTGTCAGTATGACAAACCGAGGACACAGGCACCGCTTGGGCTTATCAAACCTTTGCCTATCCCTGCTGGTCCTGATCAGTGTGTGTCCATGGACTTCATGGATAGTCTTGTGACCAGCAAGAGTGGCAAAAGGCACATCTTTGTCATCGTGGACAGATTCAGCAAGTACGCTAGGTTAATTGCGATGCCAGAGACAGCTAGGACTGACCATGCAATTAAGCTGTTTATGGATAACTGGGTGCGCGACTTTGGTATTCAGAAGTCCATAGTTAGTGATAGGATGTCAGATTCACTAGCGAACTATGGCAAAGCACAACCCAGCAAATGGGAACCCAACTGCGGATGATATCAGGGAATCACCCTGAGTCAAATGGCCAAGTTGAGCAGATGAACCGGGTAGTGCAGCACCTGCTTCGGCACTATATCAAGCCAAGCCAGGATGACTGGGATGAGAAGTTACCTCTCATCGCCAGCCTGTACAACAACACTGTGCACAGCACTACCGGCATGACTCCCAACCAACTGCATTTGGGTTGGAAGCCCAGATCTGCTCTTGAATTTGTATTGCCTAAGAACCAGCCCACAGCAGCACCAGGCAGCATAGAATTTGCTGTCAAATATGAACAGCTGCTGGAACAGGTTGTCGAGCACATAAAGAAAGCTCAAGACACTATGGTAGCGTCTGAGAACAGGCATAGATGACCATCTTCATTTCAAGTAGGGGAAAAGGTATGGGTTAAATCATCTGAACTTGGACAGGAACTGGGTATATCTAGGAAGCTCGTGCCACAGTACTTTGGGCCCTGTGAAGTTCTCCACATAGTGGGAGATCAACTGGACGGTCCTTTGTGCGCCATTCGTATCCCTGGTCACCTACGTACACACCCCGTTTTCCATGCCTCCAAACTTGCCCTTTTCGCTGAAACAGACAGGTTCCCTTCACGGAGATCTATGCTGGCACCGACCATGGACGGACACGTGGACATTGACGATATCGTTGAACACAAGCTGACGCCTGTGACCAAGCCTCCAGGCAGAGGACGCCCTTCGAAACCGCAGATGCAGTACAGAGTGCGATTCACGGATCATGTTGACCCGAAGGAAGATCGATGGTTCACAAGAGAAGAATTGATGAAGACTGCTCGGCAGGTTATATCAGGATATGAGAGAAGTCTAAGAGGAAAGCAGCCAGCTGATAAAGACTTCTCAGAGGACTATCGAAGTAAAGGAGGAGGGGGTGCGAGGACATCAGTCCTCGGCATGCCCACGAAGGGCCCCCCGCTGCAGACATATGGCCCACCCTAATTGAAGGCGGGCCCGGAATCTCATGAGGCCTGAATTCGACAATTTTGCAAAGCATTGGTGGGCGTCAGACAATTACCATGCACCAGTTGGTTACATCTGCCCTGCTCGTGAGAATCAGAAATATTTGTGAGCCTTCTAGGCTCTTCTAGCGATGCAGGGGAAGCAGGGAACACCGCACGTTTGCACCTGGGTGGTTGGGCATGCCTAACCAGTTCGGTGCGCAGACACTTTGGCTGAACGTGAAGCTACTGGGCGCACGGTCGGCAGGCCCAGACCTTTGTAAGCTGTGAAGCTGTGAAGCTGTGAAGCTGTGAAGCTGTGAGGCTGTGAGCTTTTTTGTTTCTAAAGGGGAATGGGCCCTAACATATAATGCCATTATTATTTGTGTTATTTATCTTCTAATCCATCAGGATTCCGACGCAACCGTTACCCGTGTACCATTTCAGCCCACATGAGCCGTTAGCTGTGCATGTTTTTTTTTGTTTTTTGTTTTTGTTCCCCCCTCGCATCAGCGATCTGCTGTTCTGCACACTCTGCGTCTTTGTGCTGTGAGAGTTTGCTTGTTGCATCGATGTATGCCGGTTTATTTTTTCTTTCTCTTTTTCTCTTTTTCTTTTTTTCCTTAAACCACTGGTACCTCACCCAGGCAAACGTCAGAACTGAAAATGCGACATTCTGGATTCTTCTGATGAAGAGTGCTACCAGACCAAAATGGCTGAGGGAGCCTGGCAAAGGAAAAAAGAAAACGCAAACGCGTCTGTGGCAGTTCGTATTGTTTTGGTGTGCAGGGGAAATGCACCATGCTGGTAAAAAGAGGCTCGGAGGTACTGGTGGTTAAATGTGTGTCCTTCTTTGTGCACGTCTTCCGGTGATTCATTTTCGCTGAGTATTTGTGGTAGGGGAGCTTGTGGGTGTGTAACTTGTTAAGGATTCTTCTTTCCTGCTTCCTTTGATATGTTGGCATGTGTCACAGGCGGCAGAAGAAAGTGCAAAACAAGCAGCTAAAGATGAGGGGTGGACTGTTGTCGTGAGCAAACGCGGTCGGAAAAAGAACGCTGACGGCAGTGGAATTACTGTGGGGGCGGTTGCAGCACTGAAAGCAGCAGACACACAGCCAAAGGCTAAACACCTGTCTGATTTCTACAGATTCCAGCAGCGCGAAGCTCGCCGAAACGGTAAACCACTTTTCCCTCCCTCTCCCAGTTTGCCCCAATCTGATAACCTGCAGAGTCGCAGACTACACACACACAAAAAAAAAAAAAAAAAAAAAAAAAGAAAGAACTGTTTTTGCAATCCCACAAACTGGCACTTGGTTGACCTATGAAGATATGTCGACGCTCAGATCTGGGTGTCGTGATTTGCTGTTGGTTCGAACCTACATACAGAGTGGCTTGTTTTTTTGCTTCCTTTTGTTGGGAAGGGGGTTGGACCCTAGTGTTAGTTATGATATTTATACCGTCTTCAATCGAATAGAACACCCGGTCATTATTGCTGCATCTGGACTGAAAGCCGCCCCAAATACAGCAACAATGACCGGGTGTTCTGTTCGGCTGAAGACAGTAGCATTGGTTGCTTTATTCATCTGATTCCGTCACGGTTTGCGTTCATACCCTGTTTTAATTCTAACTGTTACATGTCTGTACCATTCAGCGACATTGGGCTTGGTACATACGGATGGAGTGCTTTAGTCTGTGCACTGGCGGTCTAACATGAATAGCTTGAATGGCTGTGCCGAATGCCGCAGGCGCACAAGTTAAAGGAGGTATAAGCGTCTGTGCTGTTGCATGTGTTGTCTCATATGTGTTGTACCCTTCGTTTGTCGCCATTTGTAGTCTGCGGAGGGCACTGTTTGATGAGGCAATTCACATAGCAGAGCAAGGACTATTATTTCTGAATGCTCTCTGTATTTACTATGTGTCATCGATTCCATTCGTCTATGGCCTTCTTTTCGGGTCTCTCCTATGAAGCCTTTCTACTGTGGGAGGTGCATTTGCAAACAACTACCTGTTGGAGAGAGAGCAGCGTATGAAAGAGCAATAGGGGCTGAAGGAGGAGGGAGAGACTGCGAGGAGGAGGAGGAGGAGGAGGAGGAGGAGGAGGGGAAGGAGGAGAT